TTCTAGTGTTTTGCATGTCTTGGGAATTTCTATATTGTTTATACTATGGATGTTTATTTGAAGGTTCTCTTAGGAATTCCACTTACTTCAGTGCCCTTGACCTAAGAGTGGTCCCCTCATTAAGGTTCACTGTCACGTTGACCAAGCAAATAGCTGTAGAGAGATGGATGTGATGCTGTGAGGGAGGAAGCCCTGTCAGATCAGCTGAATCCACTGGGGAGACCTTGCGGGTGGAGAAGAAATGGTCCCAGCCAAGCTGTCTGCATTTCCACAACACTTATGATGGTCTATCAAGTTCATTTTGCAACTTATATTTGACATAATCCCGTGTACATCTTGAGTGTTAACTTGCAGGGAGAATCCGAATGATTTAGATATGGGAAGAAGCAAAGAAATTCTAGTTGGGACTGCAGTTGAAACTAGAAAGAAATCAAAGAAGGCACATGTGTGAGGGAAACAAGCTGGGTAAAGGAAGAAGAACAAAGGGAAACAGGACACTTATTTGTAATTGGATATAAACAAGAGTCTAACCTTCCACGGGCAGAGCTGGCTGCCCTGCTAGTGTTACTCAGCTCAGTTACCCATCCGGTGTACACACTCAGATGATTGTGGGCATTCTATGTATGGATGCAGGTCCTTGCTAACTAGTGAAATGGGACACATAGTTATAAGCATGCAAAATGGCTCCATCAGAGAGAGTGAGAAAAAAATTTTTTTTAAAAATTAGTAGTCTTAGGAAGTTAATGTGAAAAAGTTTGTTGTCTCAGTCCCGGTAGAAGAAAAAAATTTCTGTATCTAAGCAGCCACCAATAATACCACTTTGTAGTATTTATGCAATGATCTTTCTTTGCTTGTAAGTGCAAACACTTTTAAGATTGCCTTATGGCTCGTCATCTCAACACTCTCCTGAAGGAAAGAGGTACAGGCACATGTCATTTTACTGTGCTTTGCAGATATTGCATTCTTTACGAATTGAAGGTTTGTGGCAACCCTGTGTCAAGCAAGTCTATCAGGGACATTTTTCCAACAGTATTTGCTAAGTTTGTGTCTCTGTGTCACATTTTGGTAACTCTTGCAATAATTCAAATGTTTTCATTATAATTATATTTGTTATGGTGATCTGTGATCAGTGATTTTTGATGTTCCTGTTGTAATTGTTTTGGGGTCCCACAAACCATGTCCATGTACGCTGGCAACTTAATAAATGTTGTGTGTGTTCTGACTGTTCCACTTACCAGCCATTCCCCAGCTCTCTACCTCTCCTAGGGTCTTCCCTATTTACCTGAGACATAACAATATTGAAATCAGGCCAATTAATAAGCCTACAGTGGCCGTGAAGTGTTCAAGTGAAATGAAGAGTCCCATGTCTCTCACTTTAAATCAAAAGCTAGAAATGATTAAGCTTGGTGAAAAAGGCATGTTGAAAGCCAAGATAGGCTGAAAGCTAGGCCTCTTGCAACAAAAAGTAAAGTTGTGAATGCAAAGGAAAAGTTCTTGAAGGAAATTAAAAATGCTACTCCAGTGAACACAGGAATGATAAGAAAGCAAAGCAGCCTTATTGCTGATATGGAGAAAGATTTAGTGGTCTGGATAGAGGATCAAACCAGCCACAACATTCCCTTAAACCAAAGCCTAATCCAGAGCAAGGCCCTAATTCTCTTCAATTCTGTGAAGGCTGAGAGAGGTGAGGAAGCTGCAGAAGAAAAGTCTGAAGCCAGCAGAGGTTGGTTCATGAGGTTTAAGGAAAGAAGCCATCTCCATAACATAGAAGTGGAAGATGAAGCAGCAAGTGCTGATGGAGAAGCTGCAGCTGGTTATCCAGATCTAGCTGAGATCATTGAAGAAGGTGGCTACATTAAACAATGGATTTTCAATGTAGACAAAATAGCTTTCTCTTGGAAGAAGATGCCACCTAGGACTTTCATAGCTAGAGAGGAGAAGTCAGTGCCTGGCTTCAAAGGACAGGCTGACTCTCTGGTTAGGGGCTAATGCAGCTGGTGACTTTCAGTTAAAGCCAAGGGTCATTTACCATTCCAAAAATCCTAGGGCCCTTAAGAATGATACTAATTCTACTTTGCTGTGCTCTATAAATGGAACAACAAAGCCGGAAGATAGCACGTCTGTTTACAACATGGTTTACTGAATATTTTAAGCTGGATGTTGAGATGTACTGCTCAGAAGAGAAGATTCCTTTCAAAATATTACTGCTCTTTGACAATGCACTTGGTCACCCAAGAGCTCTGATGGAGATGCACAATGAGATTAATGTTGTTTTCATGTCTGCTAACACAACATCCATTCTGCAGTTCATGGATCAAGGAGTAATTCTGACTTTCAAGTCTGATTTTAAGAAATACATTTCATAAAGCTATAAGCTGCCATAAATAGTGGTTCCTCTGATGGATCTGGGCAAAGTAAATTGAAAACCTTCTGGAAAGGATTCATCATCTGGATGCCATTAAGAAGATTTGTGATTCATGGGAAGAGGTAAGAATATCAACATTAACAGGAGTTTGGAAGAAGTTGATTCCAACTTTCTTGATACCTTTGAGGGGTTCAAGACTTCAGTGGAGGAGGTAATTGCAGATGTGGTGGAGATAGGAAAAGAACTAGAATTAGAAGTGGATCCTGAAGATGTGACTGAATTACTGCAATCTCATGAAAAAACTTTAATGGATAAAGAGTTGCTTCTTATGGATGCGCAAACAGAGTGGTTTCTTGAGATGGAATCTACTCCCGGTGAAGATGCTGTGAAGATAGTTGAAATGACAACAAAGAATTTAGAATATTACATAAACTTAGTTGATAAAGCAGTGGCAGGGTTTAAGAGGATTGACTCCAATTTTGAAAGAAGATCTGCGGGCAAGATACTATCAAACAGCATCGCATGCTACAGAGAAATCATTATGAAAGGAAGAGTTGATTGATGCAGTAAACTTTATTTGTCCTATTTCAAGAAATTGCCACAGCCACGTCAACCTTCAGCAACCACTACCCTGATCAGTCAGCAGCCATCAACATCAAGGCAAGACCCTCCACCAGCAAAAATATTATGACTCGCTGAAGGCTCAGATGATGGTTAGCATTTTTTTGCAATATAGTATTTTTAAATTAAGATATGTACATTATATTTTTTTAGACATAATGCTATTGCACACTTAGTAGACTACAGTATTGTGTAAACATAACTTTTATACACGCTGGGAAACCAAAAAAATCCATGTGGCTCACCTTATTACTAAATTGACTTCGTTGCAGTAGTCTGGAACCAAACCCACAATATCTCCAAGGTATGCCTGTAGTTTTACAAACAATTGACCTGAGGCTCAGAGGTGAATTGACTATTCTGGAGGGTAGGGGAAAAGGTAAAGGTCACTGATATTTAGACCCCTGTTTGGAGCTAGGATTGAATTAGGCATTAACCATATGTAAATTCCTTTAATTCCTATAGGAACTCTATGAAATGGGAATTATTATTATAATTTGATAGATCAAAGAAAATCGTCCAAATCATTAGCTAATAGTGTTAGAATCAAACCATATCTGTCATATTCTAGAGTCATATTCTTTCTGCTCTACCATCTTCTTATTTGCCAATTCTACTTGACTAAGGAGGCTGCCTGGAGAGATATGCGGAAGGAGTCAAGCCCCGGCCTAGTTATTCAGTCTGAATCTGGTGGGGAGGGGAGGAGTGGCATTGAACACAGAACCCAAAGCATCACAGAATGAGAGACTTTGTGATAGGCCTCACTTCTAAGGGACTAATGGGAGACTTTCGATTACACAACAGTCTATATTTTGAGTGGCCTAAGGAAGGATGCTGCAAAAGGGCAGCTTCTTTCAACTGCATTTTGATAATAATTCTCTTTTCCCTCCTTCCTGTTGCCAATTAAGATACTAGTGAGGGAAACCAGAATATACCACCCCAAAATATGCCTCTTTGACATAAAATTATTTTGAGCTGAAGGCAATTAAGCAGCAACAAATGCAGGAAAAGTTCTCTCCCCCCCCCCCCCCCCCCCCCCCCCCCCCTTTTACTGCCTAAAGGTAGGATATAAATTCTCCTTTTACTGGAGACAGACTCTTGGCCCCGAAACAGAACCAGAGGGGTCTTGCTCCAAACAAAACTTACTCCATTAGTTTCCTCCCATATATTTACCTTCTCACAGCTTGCTGCCCTTGGAAGCCTAAAATTGCTTTCTTTTGTCCTGTCATTTCTCTATAAATTTATTGCTCTTTGTTGAAGATGCTACATAAGTCAGAGTTCTAAGTTGCCACTAGGAGTTACTTTTCACAAGTTTTCTCCCATGTGATATGTCTGCTCATGTTAACAAACTGGTTTTCTCTTGTTAATCTCTTTGTTTAAGGGCCTCTGCTGAAAACCCAAGATGGGTAGAGGTAGAGTTTTTGCCTCTACTTCACCAGCTATGGCCAATTTTCTCTCTCTTTGTCTCTTTTTGGGCACCTACCTGCTTCTTTACTTTGTAAAAGAGTTACGTTCCTTAAAATGACATCCTCTCCTTTCTTGAAAGGTAAGTGTCAATGAAACCTGGAATGTGACCCTTCAATGTATGAGTGGCAGACTGGTAGATTCTAGACAAGGATCTGGCAGCTTCGATCATCATGGACAGATGAAGGCAGGATCGGTGTTACTCTCAGTGAAAGGATAAGAACGTTTAACCAGATTTATACTACAAACCACAGTTCCTGCTTTAGTTTCTGAATGACAAATATTCCTCAGTTTTCCACTTTTACACCTGTGTTTAAATTTTCAATTTTCTGGATTGGCTTGACAGATTTAAATCCTTGATATTTTTAAAAAACCCTTTAATTTTCTTTTGCAAATTATAGCTACAATATACATATCTGTGTTTTTCTGTATTAGGTTTCACATACAGAAAACCATCAGTCTTATGTTGGAGTCCTAATGGGCTCATCGTTTTTGAGAGTGAAAGCTGTGGAAACCTTTGGATATGAATCCCAATTAATCCCCGACTTACTGCACCATTTCACTTTCCAGTTACGATTGGCATCAACTCCACGGCAGCGAAACCTTGAGTTCCTTGACCTTGTTTTTCTCCAAAATCGATCCTAGATGTAATTAAGAAAATAAGTGCAGAAAAAATACTTAAAAGGTTATTCATATGCATTTTAGTAGCTCAATCAGTGAATGAACCACAGCACTGAGGGGAGAGTTCCTCCGGGGAGAGACAAGTCCGGGGAATGGAAAGAGGACTGGATTAGCAGTGGACACTCAGGTTCATGCTCCAATTTCTGCCAAAAACTTGCCATCTCTTACCTTCTATTGGCCTCATTTCTCCACAGGCAAAATTGAATAAGCTGTACTAAACTAATGATTTTTTCAATTTATTTGGAAGGAGAAGTCTTTATTTACGTGAAATTTTATGCAAAGCCAAACATATAAACAACATCAAAAGGTTGCTGCTACGATGGGGGGGGGGGAGTGGTGTTCTCTTTTATAGCTCTGGATCACTAGGGGCTGATCGCCAAGCTTCCTTCCTGTTCTGTTTTCTGTTTTTTTCAGCCTCTCTTCCCAATTGGATAGGTAAAGTGACTTACGTTGGTCCAGCTAAAATGGTATCCATCAACGTTAAACACAGGCATGACATAGAAATACAGATGATTCAACATTTTTCTCATGGTTGGGTCACTCCTATATGTTAGAAGAGCCTAAAAGACAAAGGGGACATTTTTCTTACAAATTGATCCCAAATTCAGATTTAGAAAAGAAACATGAAAGATTCTTTCTATCCATGGGAAATACCAAATATATTGCGTTAAAAGTTAGAAGCTAATATGAACTATAACCTTTGACATCATATATTCTTTATTGAGACTTTTGTCTCAAACTCATTATTAATGATAATCTTTTAGCAAAGGTAGAAAAACAGATTAATTGGGTAGCCTCTTGCAGAATTGCAGATCTGGCTAAATGTTAGGCTGATTAAGAAAGCAATAATTTAGATATACTTTTGTATAATTAGTTCCTTTTAAGTTCAACTGTGGACAAAATAATTACCTAAATTTTGATATCCTTACATGATACATCATAATACAGGCTAGTCAGATATGTCACTTAATTGTTTATATCTAGTTGGTACCAGACTCAAGACTTGGACCTTACTGCGTGGACACTGTTCTCTCCTGACTTTTCTATAAAAAGTTTAACGGACAATATTACATCTTTGTCATCTTTACTGTGGCTCCTTTGAAGTCTTGCTCTTGTGATTGGGTTTTACTTATATCATGTCTGACCCCAAATCTAAAGATTCTGCACTGTAGATTTGGCCTCAAATAGAAAATCATTGAATGTGATAAGAATATAGACATTTTGAAATACCACACCTATGGAACTGACTTTTAAAAATGTTCTTTTTGATGCATATTTGTTTATGTGTAAAGTACCTCAGAGAAATACATAGGAAATTTGTAGCAATGGCTGCTTCTGTGGAGGGAGACTGAGGGACAATGTATGAAAAGGAGAATTACTTTTCATTTTATACCTATTAGGATTGTTTGAATTTTTACCTTATTAAAAACATAATTCAAAATAAAAGAATTATTAAATTATATATATACTACCTTGGAAAATTTAACATTTAAAATTTCAACCTTCTTTTACCTCTAGTTAAGTAGGATTTTTGAACCTGTCATAAGCAGCATTCTGTATTTACATGATAAAAATTCTGTTCATAGAGAGCAATCCAATAATAAAATGTATTATTAGAAACAATGGAGAAAATATAGGGATATATCCAAGAACATGAGAAGAGTTAAATATAATTTTGTTGAATATAATTTAAATATTTATGGAATTAACACAAATTGATAAGTATCAATACAGTTCTCTCTTGTTCTCCTGTATTTAAGGCTCAGTAATAATTTGTTGGCCAAATAGCTTCAGTAGAACTTTCATATGTGCTTGAATTTCTAATTAACTATTTAATGCCTCCAACTAGAGTAAAATCCCTGGTACGTGATCAATTGTACATATTCTGGAATTTTGTTTTACTCTAATAAATGGCGGTTCCCCAAGACTTGGAGGAAGGCTCCTGCTCGGAGTGGCAGGGACAGAGCTGTATGGCTAGCTGTGTTCCTCCCTTAAAGTTAGGCAGCTGTGGCTTTCCACGCCAGTCTAGAGAGGAAAAGACGAGATGGAAGGAAAGTGAGCTGAGGCAACAAGGCAGGAAAGAAAGGGTAGGAAAAAGTCATAGTAATTTCTCTCCCTCCCCTCCTAGCGTTGGGGACTGTAGCTCATTTGTCTCAGTGCAAACTGGGGAAGTTTCACCTTTTCCAAACACAGATCATGTTAACACCTAAGCACCAGACTATGCTAGAGACCTGCATGGGAATGTTCTCATCTTATCCTGCCGTTTCCTCTTTCAATGCAAGTGACTGCCATACTTTTGTATTTAAAAGAATATTGCTAACTTCCTTTTAAAAAATTACAATATATTTTAAGCAAATAGAAAAAGTACAGAGAAGAATATTACATCTATGTGCCCACCAACTACACCTTGCCACATTTATCAAATAGCACACACACAAAAATGAGACACTGTAGATAAAACTAAAGCTCCCTTTTTATCATCCCTGATCCCATTTTCCTCTCCTCCACCAAACACTATCCTAAATTTGACATTATCATTCCCATGTGTGATTTTATGTTTTGTTACATATATATGGATTCATGAACAACATATAATGTGTATGCTTTGAAATTTCATGCAAATGAAATCATGATGTGTCAATTTTCAGTCTGCATTTCTTCCCAATATTAATATTTTTGACACATTAAGTTGATGATTTATTCATTTTAACTGCTATATGGTATTCCATTTCTGGTAAATGCATAGATATCGAGCCCTTGTTTTGTTGATGAACAGTTAGGTTGTTTCTGATATTTCATTGTTACAATATTGCAGTGAACCTTTTTGCACCTTTCTCCTAGACATGTGTGAGCGTTTCTTTATGATATATATCCAGGAATGGACTTGATGGGTTGTTGATTTACTTGCCTTCCACTTTACTAAATGTTGCCATTTTCTCTCTAAACAGTAAATCTCTCATCTGCAGTGAATGAGAGTTCCCATTGCTCTACAATTTTTCCAACCCTTGGTATTGTTAAGCTTTTAATTAAAAAAATTTAATGGGTATGAACTTGTGTTTTATTGCTTTACTTCACATTTCCCTGATTACAATTTATATTGAACAGCTTTTGTATAATAATAGGCCATTCTGTAAATTGCTCACTCATATTTTTGACCCTTTTTTCTATTAAACTCGTTTTATTCTTCTTGTATTCTGGATATTAATCCTTTGTTTGATTATAGGCATCATAAACATCTTCCTTTCTGCAGCTTATTGCTTCCTATTTTCATCATGTCTTTGTTGGACACAAATTTTTAATTTTATCAAATTTATATATAAATTTAAGAACGCATCTCTGCCTTAAGATCATAAAGATATTATACTGTATTTTCTTCACAAAGTTGTTTCAAACTTTATTTTTCAAATGTCAGCCTTAAACCTCCCAGAAATGATGTTTTACATGGTGAGAGGTTGGGATTTATTAACTATTTTTCCATTATGGAGGACCAGTTTCTCCACTGTACTCATTTGGATGGTTCCTCTTTTCCCCGGTCAGTCAGCATGCCGCCTCTGTCCACTGTCAAGTTTTCACTGGTGGTGGAATTGTTGTCATGCACTTTGGTTTGTATCCATTCGCCAAAACCAAACCATGGTTTGTATAGAATCTGTTGAGTCTGGTCGGATGTCTCTCTGCATGCTGTTCTGCTTCAATATTGTCTTGGCTATTTTTAACACTTCTTCCTTCACATTAATTTTAAAATCAAGGTCAGACATATTAAAAATGTTCTGTTCCATACTAGGTTGTTGTTTAGTTTTTGATTAATGGATGTTGAATTTTAGCAAATAGTCTTTCTTCATTCATTAACATAATCATATAGTTGTTATGATCAATTTCAATAAATAATTTTCCATTGTTAAATGATCCTTGTATTCCTGGGATAAGCCCATTTGGTTATGATATGTATTCTTATTATATTGGCTGGATTCAGGTTGCTAATATTTACATCTATATTCGTGAGTGAGATAGGCCTATAATTTCCTTTCTTATTTTGTCCTTGTTTGGTTTTGGTATCAGGGTTATATTACTTTATTATTATTTGGGGAATAAACCTTCTAGGCCTAAAGCACAAATTAATTAAATATAAAAGAAAGATACCATAGGGAAGATATATCTTTGTTTTCTGTTTCTTTGATTTCTGCTCTTTATTGTTTCTTTCTTTTGTTGACTCTCTTTTTGCTTTTCTAATTTCTTGAGTTGAAACCTCAGCTCACTAATTTGGAGACCTTATTCTTTTCTAATATGTTTATTTAAAGCTATAACTTCCCCTTCAGTATTACACTAGCTGCATTCTATATGTTTTGATATATAATAGTTTTGTATCCACTCAGTTGTAATTTTTGAAAATTTGCCTTGATTTCTTTAAACCATATTTACAAATATTTTTATATTTTAAAATATGTGAGTTTTCTTAAGTCATATTTTTAGAAATAATTTCTAATAACTGCATTACAGTCAGAGAATATGGTCCACATGATATAGATTCTTTGGTATTTCTTGAACCTTGCTTTGTGGCCTAGCCCATAGTCAATTTTTGCAAATGTTCCAAACGTACTTGAAAATAATATGCATTCTCTAATTATTGCGTATGGATTCTATATGTGTTCATTAATTATTAATTGCATTGTTATGTCATCTATATTCTTCCTAAAAATTTTGCCTGTCTCTCTTAATCACTGAGAGTCGTGTTAAAAAACTCTCATTATTTTAGATTTATTTCTTTTTCTTATAATTCTGTCAAATTTTGTCTTATATATGTTGAGGCCATTAACATGGCCTTATTTTAAAGTTCTTCATTTCCAAATAATATATTAAATAAGGAAGCTGTTCTCTAGTATTCTATTCTGGAGTGGATTTAATTTCCAAGACTTGCCAGAACATGTTCTTTCTCTGATAAACAAGGTGTCATTGTATTGCATATGCTATATTTGTGATTTTTATAACTCTCTGAGAATTGCAGCCATTCTCCATCTGGTCAGACAAAGCGACAATGATCACAGTGTGATGAGTGTTCTCTACTGAATGGGACGACTGAGAGACCTCCTTGCTTGAATGCTTTAAGTAATAGGACATAGATATTTCTCTTTTATGGTTTAGGTGGAGTTTCTCAAAAAATGGTGACCATGTGACTATTTCCTATTATTCTAACACATGATAACCATAAAGAACGTAGGAGATGCTTTCCTTCTAATGTGTAGGACTCTTTTTAGCAATCAATTCACACCACCCATACACACAGAAAAGGAGATGCCGGCTGATCAAGTTCTGTCTGGGCTTTACCAGTTTCATTTCTTGACTATTGTTGCTTATGAGGAAGACAAGTAGTCGTGACCTGAAAGCCAGTCACAAAACAATGCACCACACGCCTCAGTGTGGCAGTCTTTGGGTACTACACTCACCTTCATCAGCGTGTCAACGAAATGGATTTTTATTTTCAATTAAAAGATAGCAGAGAAAGTTTTGAGCATTATCTTCTGCTAGTAAAACGATATGTTTAGTATTAGGTTAGGGAATTTCTGAA